TCTCAGGGCAGGATGGGGCAGCCCCTGCCTTAACTTCATGGTTTGGCCTTCTATGGCCCTCTGAGCAAAGGAAAATACCAGCAGCTGTCCTGCTGTCTGCTTGGGAGGTTCTGCCTCCTCAGAGAGGAGAGAATGTCCTGTCATGGGTGAGATAGTTCATTAGACACACCCCTTGGTCCTGCTGTGAACTCTGAGTCACTCTCTTGGGCCTGCTAACGTCAGCCTCCTATGACAGCTGGATTGGTTAGGCCCTGGGTAGCACCTCCTCTCTAGACAGAGGCCTGCATTTGAAGGTCATGAGATTCTGTAGCTATCACTAGGTGACAATTCCTGAGTGCTTACTATGCACCAGGCAGTGTGCTAAGCTTTTAATATGTATTTGCTCATTTAATCTTCACAGCTATCAAACAAGGTAGGGCCTGTCACCACCGTTTTACAGATAAAACTGAGGCGCCAAGACATGAAGTAATGTGCCTGTGGTCTCCCAGCTAGTTAAGGGAAGAGTTGGGACAGTAACCCAGGGAGCCCTGTTTTGGAGCCCTGGTGTTTAAGCACGATGCCGTTGCAGTGATCAAGAGGAGAATACAGCTAGGAAAGCATCTGACAGCATAAGGTTAATTATAGAGCAAAACAACAAAACACTTTCACTGCTGGAATCCCAGCCACTCAAGAGGCTGAGGCAGGAAGAATCTCAAGTTGAAAACCAGCCTCAGCAACTTAGCAAGACCCTGTCTCAAAATAAAAGATAGAATGGAGATGAGTCACAGAGTGCTCCTGTGTCCTGTCCCTAGTATTGAAAAACAAATGCACAGAACACTTTCACAGAAGAAATAGTCATAGTCCAGCCTTACTATGATATTCTCCAGGTATCATCTAACTTTGACCTTGCTGGACAAATTGTTGTTTGGGAAAGTGACATTAAGTACTGGAGAAGGAGTTTGGGTTGAAGAGAGGTAGGGCTTGAGGTCTCTAGGAGTTGCTTGGGAAAGTTGACCTTGACCTGGCCAGAGTATTCTGATAGTATCTTCTCTCCTTTTGTTCAACAGGTTTTGAGTTTGATCGATGGCTGAATACTCCTGGCTGGCCCCCCTACCTTCCTGATCTCTCTCCTGGGGACTCACTCATGAAGCCAGCTGAAAATCTGGCCCAGCTGTGGGTGACTGAGGAGCTAAACATGCCAGCCATTGAGGCTGTGGCCATCTCTTCCTGGAAGACCTACCAGCTGATCTACTTCCTAGATAAGATCCTCCAAAAATCCCCTCTCCCTCCTGGTAAGAATAAGTGGGTTATTTCTTCAATATGCTGAATCAAGTCTCCTTGGGTAACAGCTTTTAACCTGGTCCAGAAGGAGAGTCAGGAGGAGTTGAGATCTTGGCCCAAGGCAGTGCCAGATGTAGCAGGGAGGCAAGTACTTCATGAGAAACCTGTCATCAGAAGAATACAGGTCCTGGGTACTGGTGCCATGGGGAGTAGAGGAAGCCTGGCATTTCTCAATGCTTCAGGCGCTGCAGGCCACTTTTTTAGGCTCTGCATATCTATGAGGTGGCTTAATCCTTATAACTAGTCTGTGAAGGAGGAATTGTGATTTTAATCCCCATGTAACAAAATGAACTTGAGGCACACATAGTTCATACAGCCAACAAATGGACTGGAATTTGAATACAGTCATCCAAAGCTTTTAACCATTAACGCTTGCTGCTTGATCGAAATGATATTCACCACTGGGTGTGGTGGCGCATGCCTGTAATCCTAGCAGTTTGGGAGGCTGAGGCAGGAGTGTCATGAGTTCAAAGCCAGCCTCAGCAATTTAGGGCTGCCCTAAGCAATTTAGCGAGACCCTGTCTCTAAATAAAAAATAAAAATAAAAAAGGCTGGGGATGTGGCTTGGTGGCCTGGTACCAAAAAGAAAAAAAAGAAAGAAAGAAAGAAAAAGAGATAATATTCACCAAGGGGTGAGAAAAAGCTAAAACATAATGGTGCTTGGCTGTAATCTCAGCTACTCAAGAGGTTGAGGCAAGGAGGAGCATAAGTTCAGGGTCAACCTCAGCAATTTATTGAAACCCTAATTCAAAATTGAAAATAAAGAGGGCTTGGGGTGTAGCTCAGTGGTAAAGTGCTGCTGGATTCAGTCTCCAGTATTGGGGGGGATGCAGGTAAAGTTCAGATAAATTGATAGGTTAATGGTAGGAAAAAAGTGGGGAAGCATATTTTAGGGGGTATACATGTGTTATAATCCATAAAGGAAAATAGGATGATTACAGGAAAAGAGCATGTCTGTGACCTGCACCCATATTACCAGTTTGGGGTTAGGTGACTGGACAGTAAGGGACATTGGACAGAAGAGCCTTAGAAGTTCAGGTAACTGGGCTGGGGCTCTGGCTCAGTGGCAGAGCGCTTGCCTAGCATGCATGAGGTACTGGGTTTGATCCTCAGCAACACATAAAAATGAACAAATAAAATAAAGGTATGCTGTCCATTTACAACTACAGTGCTACAGTCAAAAAAGTGAAAAAAAAAAAGAAGTTCAAGTAACTGTGATAATAGAATATTACCATTCTGGAGCATAAGAATGAATGATAAAGTGGGTGGTTGTGTCCTCTTTGAGGACCTCAGGGTGGGCAAGCACTTAGTGTCCCTGAGAATGGGGCTTCTTGGCTTCCCCTGCTGGTCATAAACAACGCATACCATTGGGTATGGAGGCACATGCCTGTCATCCCAGCAGCTCTGGAGGCTGAGATAGGAGGATCGAGTTTAAAGCCAGCTTCAGCAATTGAGCGATGCCCTAAGCAACTGAGTGAGACCCTGTCTTTAAGTAAAATACAAAAAAAGGGTTGAGGATGTGACTCAGGGTTAAGCACCAGGGTTCAATCCCTGGTACCAAACAAAACAAAACAATCGATTTCTTTCTCTTTTCTAGGGAATGTGAAAAAACTTGGAGAGGCATACCCGAAGGTCTCAAATGCCCGGAATGCAGAGCTGCGGCTACGATGGGGTCAAATTGTACTTAAGAACGACCATCAGGAGGATTTCTGGAAAGTGAAAGAGTTCCTGCAGAGCCAGGTGGGTGACCCCCACCTCCCTGTCCCATGAAGGCGGGATGTGGACTACCCACCATACTTGAAGTCATCCTGTGGGCAAAGCGTCTTTAGTGTCTTGTGGTCTGAGCTCAGAGCTACAGAGGATGTGGGGCCTGGGACCTCCAGAGGATCTTACTCCTCATTGTGTTAATAATGTGGCCGCTGGAGATATCGTCCTAGGGAAAGAGAAAGCCTGCAAGCTTAGGGGTTTTTTTGCAGATAATCTGGTAGAGGCTTGAGAGATAAAAGGTAGTCAGCTAACCCTCACTCAAAACTGGTAAGGAGGGTAACACATAGCATGGTTCTGGTCATGGGAAGAATGGGAGAGGGCCAGAGGACAAGCAAGGTGAGCAAAGGCTAGATTATATAGATCCCTGCCTTATGGGAAAGCTGCAGGACTTGGGATTAGAATGCACAGAAGGATCCTCCATCAGCTCATGAGATCTGCCTCCTGGGTAAGGGTGGGGCTTTCCCCAGGAACTGAATGTCATTTGATTGCAGAGCAGGGAAGAGTGGGCTGGGTACAAAGCAATGCTCAGCTTCTCTGATCTGCATGAAGCAGGAGCTACATGTCTGTTGGGGGTGTTCTGAGCCCTCTGACCACTTCTTGTGAGGTAGACAGTTATGCAAATTTGACTTAGGGGTTTTCTTTTGCTTGATTGTAGTTGACCTTATGTGGTCCTGAGTTTTATGTGCTACAGTCTTAAAATATATATATATATATATATATATATATATATATATATATATATATATATATATATATATGGTCTTTTAGTTGTAGATGGATACAGTACCTTTATTTATTTATTTTTATGTGGTGCTGAGGATCAGGGCCTCACACATGTTAGGCAAGCGCTGTACCACTGAGCCACAACCCAGCCCAGTTGTTTTCTTTTTTAATGGTACTAGGGATTGAGCCCAGGGGTGCTTTACCACTGAGCCCCACCCCAGCCCTGTGCTGCCGCCTTTTATGTCTGTCACTACCTTGGTAGCTGACCACCTCCAGCTCTCCAAAAGTTGGCAGTCCCTTTGTGTTAACCCATCTCATTTGTTCTGTGGATGTAGGGGTCCCTATGTTATCCTGGCTTTGGATGCATGTTGAGATTTATCTCCATGGATCTTTGCCACCTGAGAAGATGCCAGAATCAGAGCACCTCTGACTGGGAAGCTCTCTATTTCAACTCTGGTTCCACATCCCTCTTGGCACTTGACCATGATCCCTGTTAGATTGCTTCCAGGGGAAGAGGGCTGGGAAGACAACAACAAGCTGCTCAGAGCCCGTGCATGTGTTTCTGCAGGGGAAGCAGAAGTATACCCTTCCGCTGTACCACGCCATGATGAGTGGCAGTGAAGTGGCCCAGACCCTCGCCAAGGAGACTTTTGCGTCCACTGCCTCCCAGCTCCACAGCAATGTTGTCAACTATGTCCAGCAAATCCTGGAGCCCAAGAGCAGTTAGAGGTCATGTGCATGGCCTGTCTCTTCGGACTGCCCAGGCTTTCAGAATAATTGTTCTCAAATTCTAGTTTTCCAGTCAACATCCTGAAGTTTTGGTCCCCTCGGGATAATCTGTTTTCTGACCTTAGGTATCTGTCACTTTGGGCCTGTGCTCTGGCAGGAGCTTCTCTCTGTCCCTCCCTCCCACAGCTCCTCTCCATACAGGCTGCTGGCGTTGGTGGGGGCAGTCGGTCTTCTCCTGCCTTCCCACTTAAGTTTCTGGGGAGAAGCAGAGAGGTTTTCCTTTCTTTTTTTAAATAAATGTTTTTAAGCAAAAAGTAGATAAGTTGGAGTGATACACTGAGTAACTGTTAATTTCTTCTACCAGGTGTACCTTCTGAATGTGAGTGATAAGAGAACATCACTGCGGGGCTGGGGGGGACATTGTCTCCCTGTCTTTAGGGAACTGCCAGACTGAGGAGTGGGCCCACGCAGGCCAGTGAAAAAAATGATTGGCCACATGGCAGGGCTGTTGCAGGGACAGCGTGGGGATGAAGAGCCTTCCAACCTGCTCCGTGGGAGGGAGCGAAGCCCAGTTCCCTAGCTGCAGCCTCACTCCAGTGCTCTCCTCCCCCACCTCTCACACACAAGTTTGATCTAGTGCTCTCTCTCTCCCCTTCCTTCCCGTCCCTGGCCTTTGCGGGGCCTCACCTGCCTGTGCTCTTCGATAACTGTATTTTTATGGTGTGGTGATGGGTAGAATCTGTTCAAAACCTGGCATTTGGACTCGGGGAGGTAGAACCTTGCCTAGCATGTGCAGCGCCCTGGGTTCTGTCCCCAGCATTCCAAAACCAAAACTTGGTACTAAATTCTGATTTCTTGGCTTCATTGTAGGCTAAGCAGTGAGTAACTTGGGTTTGAGAGTGAGGTGAGAGGAGGGTTGAAAGAAAAATTATATTTAGATTATCTTTTTTAACTACAGGGACCCCTGAACCAATATCCATTTGTGGTTCTGTCCCTTACTTTAGGTTATCCATGTGGCCTTCCCTGCACAGGGATTGAGAAAGAGTACTTCAGTTGATTTGTTCTTAGTCTTAGCCAAAGCAAGAGAATAGTAGTAACCAACGGTTGGCAGGAGAGCACCTCTTCCCCAAGGCACGCTCAGAGCCTCCCCCGAAGAAGGGGGCAGTTGTGAATCATAGAATGACTTGGGAGGTCCAGGATTGGGGCAGCTACTCAGAGCATTGACTTTTTCCCCCCTTCCTGGCAGTACTGGGGATTGAACCCAGGGCCTTGCCATGCTAGGCAAGCACTCCACCACTGGGCTTCAGCCTCAGCCCTAGGCATTGGCAACTTGATACCAGACTGTTTCCCAAACTCTTTCAGGATGCCCTTGGCAATATGTTATGGGCCAAGACTATTTTAGGGCTTGTCTAGATGCATCCTCATATCCCAGCCTAGTGTTTAGCATATCAGCTGAGACCAGTAGCCTTGTTCTGTATTAAAACCCTGTAACATGGATGAGTCCAGTAAATACGAAGGGTCCTGGAAGCCAAGGCTGGGAGTGCTTCCGCTGCAGCCTTCTCTGTCGCACTTGCTTTGTGAGTCCTTCTGTTTCATAGTATGGGCACGCCACCTTTGCTCCCTGCTGTCTTGCTGAGTATGTCTGTCCTTTAAAGGGCTGGGGGCTATCCTCTTGCCATCCTCCTGTCCAGAGGGTGAGGCTGTGCCACTGTGGTATTTGGAAGGCCCCTTGCTTCCTGCTCCATAGCTGGTCTGACCACAGTCCTGGAACCTCCTCAGCCCTCTGAGGCACTGACCCCAAGTCCAAGTCTTTCCTATTTTCCTGCCTCATTTGGTTATTGAAGGCACTAATAGTTGGACAGGTGCGAGCCTGCAGGATTTCCTCAGCTCCATTTCTTCTGTGGAGAAGCCTCATGAAGGCAGGGTTGCTGGTGGCCTTCTCATTATGCTCTGTGCCTCCTCCTCACCCTGCCTCTGGAGCCCTGGCCAGGTGCTCTTCAGGCGGGAGCATGTGAGCAGCCCTGGGGCTGCAGCCGGTTCTCCCACATTCCAGGGTGAGTGACTGGGTAGAGGGTGTGCCTGCCTTGGGCTCCTTGGGGGTGGCCCCCTGAAGGGCTGAAAATAATCCTGCCCAGAGCCCCTGGCTCTCCTGCCACCCCTGGCCCAGTGAAGGGGACTCTGGACATTAAGAACCCTCTCTCCTAGGCACCCAGTAGTTTCAGAGACAAGAAAGATGAGAAGCAAATCCTCCAGTTATCAAGTCAGAGAGGGGTACCTGGATGTGGAATCATGAGTCACCTTCTGTTAAAGTGACCTGTGAAAATACCCCCTCCCCCACTATTGTGTTGTCAATTAAGGGGATGGGGAGGAGAACCACACCCTGTATCTCAGATGCATGAATAAAGTTTGAGGCTGAGGGTGTAGAGTGGTAGGGTACTCACCAGGCCCTGGGTTCCAGGCCCAGCACCACACAAAACAAAGAGCTAGAAGAGACCTTAAGGATTATTTATTCCAAACAACCTCTTTCTTTTTGGCATGGTACTTGGGATTAAACCCAGGGGCACTCTACCACTGAGCTACATCCCCAACCCCTTCCCTGCTTTTTGAGACATGGTCTTGCTAAGTTGCTCAGCTTGGCCTTAAACTTACGATCCTACTGCCTCAGCCTCCAGAGTCACTGGGATTACAGGCGTATGTCACCTTAGCCAAACATTATCAGTTTTTAAAATATTTTTAGTTGTAGATGGACACAACTACATTATTTTGTTTATTTAGTTTAATTTTTTTTAATGTGCTGCTGAGGATAGAACCCAGTGCCCCATGCATGCTAGACAAGTGCTTTACTACTGAGGCAAGTGCTGTACCACTGAGCCACAACCCCAGCCCCAAACATTATTTTTAAAGAAGGAGATGTGCAGAATCCATGCACCTTGCCCAAGATCACATGGAACAGACTCTAGAACATTAATCTCCTACCTCCTTTCATCCTGTTACTTCTGCTCAGGGTCTCCAGGGGTGGGTCTGTGGGACCTGTCTCTTGTATTTGGAGCTCAATTCATAGAAGCACAGGTATGTGGGACTCTGCCACAGGGGAGGCTAGGGTTCCATCCAAGACTGAGGGGGAGAACTGCAGCCAGAGGCTCGGAGTGCAGGGACCTGGTTCCTTTCCCAGCCTTACCATCTACCTAACTCATTGGCCTGGGCAAGCCGTTCCACCCATCTGAGCTGCATTTTTCTCACCTAAAAAATGAAGGTAAGCAGGGCTGGGGTTGTAGCAGAGGTAGAACGCATGCCTGGCACGTGTGAGGCACTGGGTTTGATCCTCGGCACCACATAAAAATAAGTAAATACATAAAGGTATTGTGTCAACCTACAACTAAAAAATAGATTTTTTTAAAATGAAGGTAACTATCCAGGTGCAGTAGTGTGCACCTATAACCCCAACTACTTGGGAGGCTGAGGGGGAAGATTGCAAGTTCAAGGCCAGCCTGGGCAATTTAGTGAGTCTCAACTAGGGATGTAACTCAGTGGTAGCGCAGTGCATGTGCAAGACCCTGGGTTCAATCCCAGCATTTCAAAATAAAACAAAGATGCACATTGCTTACTGGATTTTTGTGTGTGAAGATTTTTATGTTAAAAGTGCTTGGTAAGCTGGGCAAGTGGTACAAACCTATAATCCCAGCCTCTCTGAAGGCTAAGGTAGGAAGAGCATAAGTTTGAGGCCAGGCTCTGCAACTTAGTGGGACCCTGACTCAAAAAATAAAAAGTATTGGAGATCTGGGTGTGGTGGCACATGCCTGCAATCTCAGTGACCTGGAAGGCTGAGACAGAAGGATGGAAAGTTTGAGGCCAGCCTCAGCAATTTAGCAAGGCTCTAAGCAACTTAGGAAGACTCTGTTTCAAAATAAAAGATGAAAGGGGCTGAGGATGTGGCTCTGTGGCAGAGTGCTCTGGGTTCAATCCCCGTACTGCAAAAACAAAGAGCTTGACAAAATAGGAAACTGATGCCACAGGATTCCCTTCTCTGAATGACATGACCCAGGGCAGGCTTCTGACCAGTAGAGGGCAGCAGACAGGTACTGGTAAACAGGGAAGGCTACTAAATTAGGCATCTGAGGAAGGTTTTGGGCTTGCTTGTTTGTTTTGTGGTGGTCCTGGGGATCGAACCCAGGGGTGCTCTACCGCTGAGTTACATCCCCTGGCCTTTTAACTTTTTTTGAGGTAAATTGTTGAGGCTGGCCTCAAACTTTTGTAATCCTGCCTCAGCCTCAGGGTAGGGTGGGATTACAGGCTTTGGCCACCATGTCCAGCTGAGGGAGGACTGTTAAGTACAGCCCCATCTCACCATAAGTGGCTGCAAAAACCCTGATGCTTGGGTGGGGCCTAGGCAGGCAAAAAATGAAGTGGACCCTGTGAATGGGTTCCTAGGCTAGGGACCCTGGAGCCTGGGGGCTACACCTGCAGGACAGGCCACACCCATTAGCCCATGAATATTGCCTTGCAAGGAGTCTGGAGAGTCGTCCTTCACTCCAAATCCTGGGTGTTGTGGAGAAAATCCCTAAACCTCAATAACTTCTCTCCTCCTAGGCTCCTTTGTCCCCAGTTCTCTGGACAGTTAGAGGCAGGGCCAGGGTTCAATCAGGGGTTCTGGTTTCCCCACTTACCTTTTCCCCTCCCTAGCCCATCCCTAACCTGGCCCCCAGGAGGAATTTCCTGAGCCAGAGGGTGGCCAGAAGCACAGATGCCCACCCCAGTGGCATTCCCACCACCTGCCCAGGTCAGAGCCCTGGGCCCAACCCCAGAGGGTGCAGGATGACAGAGTCTGACAATCATTAAACCAGCCGGGCCTGATTTCCCAGCACCGCCTGCTAGGATCCGGGCCAAGTGGCACAGAATATGCAAATCACCTGGGGCCAGGAGCCCAGTCTGAAGGCCAGGAAATCCCCTCCATCCAATGAGCCACCAGCTCAGGTTACCGCCGGGACAAACTCAGAAGACCTGGTGTGGGGAGGAGCTCCTACGGCTCTATATAGGACGGGTGGGGGAGCACAGGGGCCAGACTCCTCACTGCTACCTGGCCGAGCTGTTGGCCACCTGGATTTCTCTTCCACCTGTGACCTCCGAAGCCTGCCTGCCTGCCTGACGCCCGCACCCTGCCACCCGGTAGGACCCCCACCTGTCACGTTCCCATCCGTGAAACCAGGGATGGCTTAGTGGATCTGCAGCTCTGAACCTGCCCCCTCTAGTCTGGAATTTCCCAGCAGGAGTGTGCGGCAGTAGGGGGGTCCTGAGAGTCAGAGTATCCTGTCTGTAGGAGGGACAAGGACTTGGAAGCTCCCACTTAAGGGCTCTGGGCGATCCGAGCAGGGAGCCCCAGCAGGAGGGTCTAGTAGCCACACTTTGCTCTGAATCTAGAAGCCCTTTTTGAAGAGAGGGAGCACGCAGATGCTGACCTTGCTGCCCCTTTGGGTGGCTCCTGCCCAGGTTTGGCCAGAAGAGAGCAGCCAGGATGTAAGGTGAGGAGTCTGGAACCTTCACCAACCTTGTCCCCTCTCCCCAGGTAGCCTCATGGCTGCAACCTGTGAGATTAGCAACGTTTTCAGCAATTACTTCAGTGCTATGTACAGCTCCGAGGACCCCAGCTTGGCCTCTGCTCCCCCTGCTGCCACCTTTGGGGCTGATGACTTGGTGCTAACCCTGAGCAACCCACAGATGTCGCTGGAGGGGACAGGTGTGTGACGTGGGATGGGGTGCCTTCAGGGACGGAGGGAGACACGGCTCTCTGCTAGATAAATGGGGAAGCGGACAGGGAGGAGGGTTCCCAAGTGAATTCCAGGACTAGGGGCTGAGGTGGTGGGGATTGTGGGGACTGTGATGGGCCAAGAGAGGATACTGGGACCAGGGTGTCATGAAAGCCACATTCTCCCCCTGTTCCTGGGGAGGCTTCCTGAGAAATGAGGTGGGAGTGCACACAGGATCCCAAAGGGGCTGGGAGCCGTGGCACAGGCCTTAATCCCAGCAACTTGGGAAGCTGAGGCAGGAGGATCACAAGCTCAAGGCTAGACTCAGCAACTGAGGCCCTAAGCAATTTAGTGAGATCCTGTCTCAGGAAAAAAAAAAAAAAAAGTGGAGGGGCTGGGGATGTGGTTCAGTGGTTAAGCACCCCTGGGTCCAATACTGGGTACAAAGAAAAAAAAAAGAATCCCAAAGGGGCACCAGAAATGGGGCCTGTGCTGACCCGGTTGCTGTGCTGGCCCCTTGCAGAGAAGGCCAGCTGGTTGGGGGAACAGCCCCAGTTCTGGTCGAAGGCCCAGGTTCTGGACTGGATCAGCTACCAAGTGGAGAAGAACAAATACGATGCCAGCTCCATTGACTTCTCTCGGTGTGACATGGACGGGGCCACCCTCTGCAACTGTGCCCTTGACGAGCTGCGCCTGGTCTTTGGGCCTCTGGGGGACCACCTGCATGCCCAGCTGCGGGACCTCAGTGAGTTCAGGCCACTGGTGCCACAGGGGCCTTGGAGGGGAGGAGAGGGTCAGCCCTGGGCAAGACCTGGAGCCTGGCCAGAGGGCGCAGCCAGAGAGGGCCCGAGGGAGGGGCAAGGGAAGTGACCCCTCCTTCCTTCTCCTCAGCTTCCAGCTCTTCTGACGAACTCAGCTGGATCATAGAGCTTCTGGAGAAGGACGGCATGGCTTTCCAGGACACCCTAGGAGACCCCGGCCCCTTTGGTGAGGCTCCTTTTCTCCCCCATGCCCAGGTCTACCTGTCCTGTCCCATTCCTGGCCCTACCTAGAGTGAGAGGAACGGCCCCTCCCCAGGCCTCCTACCCCAACTAGAAAAGGCCCGGCAGCAGCTCATCAGGTCCCGGAGCCTTACCTGCCCTTGCCTGGTCCCCTGAGCCCTCTCTCCTCTTCCCCTCAGATCAGGGAAGCCCTTTCACCCAGGAGCTGCTGGAAGACGGCCACCAGGCCAGCCCCTACTACGCAGGCAGCTATGGCGCAGGAGCCCCCTCCCCTGGCAGCTCTGACGTCTCCACCGCAGGTGAGAGCGCAGCCTCCCTCCCCCAGGGACCCCAGGGCCTGGGTCCCAGCACTGGAACCCAGGCCTCTGGGTCCTGTGTGGCAGCCAGGCACTCACTCTAACCTCCCGCCCAGGGACCGGTACTTCCCAGAGCCTCCATTCCTCAGACTCCGGTGGAAGTGACGTGGACCTGGACCCTACTGACAGCAAGCTCTTCCCCAGAGGTGAGCAGAGGGAGGCCCTGGGGGTCCCGTTCCCTCCTCCCTGCTCCTGCAGGGCTTTCTGGATAGGAGCTGCTCCCCCAGTGACCACCCTCTTGACCTCCCACCTGTCCCCCATAGATGGATTTCCTGACTATAAGAAGGGGGAAAGCAAGCACGGAAAGCGGAAACGGGGCCGCCCACGGAAGCTGAGCAAGGAGTACTGGGAGTGCCTGGAGGGCAAGAAGAGCAAGCACGGTGGGTGAGCCCTGGCCTGGGGGCGGGCAGCTGGTGGGCGGCAGGCCACCTCTGCTCTGCTTCCCTGCTGCTGCGCCAGCGGGGAGGAGGAGGGCTGTATGGCGCTGGTCCACGCCTCACTGCAGGGACTACCATGTGGTCTTGATGAGGAGGGGAAACGAGGCTCCTGAGGGAGGCCCAGGGCTTGAGTGTTCAAGTTTCCAGTCCACCCACTCCAGTTCTGTCTGCACTTAGCCATTGTCCTGCCTGCTGGGACACCCTAGGTGGTGGGTGGAGGCAGCTGGTGGGTGCCTGGGGGGGACCCTAGAGCCACTGGGCTGAGACACTGGACACCAACCTGCTGAGGGTGGGGAAGGGGCCTCAGGCATTGTGTGCTCCAGCAGCTTTGAGCCTCTGGGAGATTGCCCTGAAGGCCTCTCTTGCCTGCATGCTTGCTCGCATGCACATATAGCTGGTTTCTGTGGGGGAGTGTATTTTTCCAGGAAGCTGTCCCCTGGTCCCCCAGCCTGGGGCTACTTATCTGTTCCCATACTCCGCAAGCTCTCACCATGGGTTTCTCTGTAGGCCCCCCACCAAGCCATGAGCCCCCAGAGGCCATAGGGATCCTTGTCACCATCCATGCCAGCCAGACGTTTGATCAGTATTGTCAGGAGTGAAACATCTGTGCTGTGCAAGAGGTGTCCAGTCTTCCTGGAGCGCCTCGTCTAAGAGGACATGAGGAGGAAAGTGCTCGCTACAATACACACTCCAAGGGCACTGTAGCCGGTTTCTGGAAGGTTTGGTTTCCTGCTCTGGCCATTAGTCAGCAGTGTGCAGGGTTAGCGTTAGGGTCAGCCAGCCTGGTGAGAGGGGCTGCCCTGGCCTGCTGACTGAAGGGATGTGGCCTTGTAGCCCCCAGAGGCACCCACCTGTGGGAGTTCATCCGGGACATCCTCATCCACCCTGAGCTCAACGAAGGCCTCATGAAGTGGGAGAACCGGCACGAGGGTGTCTTCAAGTTCCTGCGCTCTGAGGCTGTGGCCCAACTGTGGGGCCAAAAGAAAAAAAACAGCAACATGACCTATGAGAAGCTGAGCCGGGCCATGAGGTGAGATGCTCATGAGAGTCATGGGGCTCATGACTGAGCTGGACATCCGGGGACTTGTTGATCTGACCGGTTGTTTGTGTACCCCTCCCCCCTCCCCACCCTCTCTGTCACCCCTGGGATCCATGTAGTAAGTGTTAATCCTGTGGAGTGAGGACGGTGAAGTTGCCCACTGACCTGGGGGGTCAAATGGTAGCACGGAGAAAGTGTTAGCCTGGCATGTTGCAGGCACCTTGACTTCAGCTGACATATGTGTTATTTGCAAGGTGGTCCTAAGAAAGGCACCTGGAGAGTGCTGGAAAGACCACGGCCATGCCTGGGCCAGGGCTCTGCTTGTTTGTCTCTGGGCTTCAGTTTCCTCCTGTTGCCACAATGATGGCCTCGCTCATCTCTAGGCTCCCTTCAGCCTGCACCATGTGCCTTCATGAAAAGGCCCAGGATGTAGCCATAAGCTATAAACAAACCAGTGCAGAAGCAGGTGCCCTGCAGACATTGATAGGCCGGTATGGCCGCAGCAGATGGGAAGAGCAGTCCAGGAAGTATGGGGCAGGCTCAGGTGGGTCTGGCTGCAGACCAGAGGGGACAGATCAGCCGAGGACTTGGGCCATGTGGGATGTGCTGCAGCGCAGGCCACGTCTCCTGCCTGCGCACCTCTGACCACCTCGCCTCTGGTCCAGGTACTACTACAAACGCGAGATCCTGGAACGGGTGGATGGCCGCCGACTGGTCTACAAGTTTGGCAAAAACTCCAGTGGCTGGAAGGAAGAAGAGGTGGTTCAGAGTCGGAACTGAGGAGCTGAACTAGACCAGGACCAAACTCATGGACTTGGACTGAGGCCTGCAGCCCTCCTGGAGGCCAGGCAGGCTTGGAAGCCCCTCCATTTGGATGTGCTCCCTGCAGAGCTGTGGAGAAGCCGAAGTCTGGTGTGTGGTCAGGCCTGTCCTGGAGCGGGGCCTGCAGCCTCTCCTCTGTCCACCTTCTGGAATTATAAGCCCTGGGGTTTGAAGCGACTTGCTCGCTGACTCTACAGCTGCTGGTTGGCTGCTTCCAATCCCAACGCTGCTGCCGATGACACCTTCCCTGGCAGATGCTTGGACTCAGCCATGGAGACTGTTGGGGAGCCCTGGGATAGAGGGGACAGGCAGTGTCCTCCAGCCCCTCCTTTCTGGACTGGCTTCCACCTCTCTACTCAGTGCTTGGGCTCCACGGCGGGGGGTCAGAGCATCCCTAATTTATGTGTTATAAATACGTCAGATGTACATAGAGATCTATTTTTTCTAAGGCATTCCCCTCCCCCCTCCTCTCTCACTGAGCACTTGTGGCCAGACTTGTCACCCTGCCTGGCCAGTGAGAGGAGGGCTGCAGCCAGACCCCTCAAGATGGGGGTCCTGGCTCCTTTCTCCTGTGAATGGAGGCCGAGACCTCCAATAAAGCGCCTTCTAGGTTTTTCTAACCTTTGTCTCTGCTCTCTGTGTACTGACATCTAGGCCTCCAGATCAGATAGGCCTGAGCTGGGAAAGGGGTCTTAAGGGACAGAGGGGGAAGACAGAGCATCTGGGGGCTGGGAAACAGGAGAGTGGGGCTGGTAGGACCCTGACTTGGGGCAAAGAGGACAGGTAAGGCTGTTCACGACAGGGAAGGTGTGCAAGATGGTCACACAATCAAGGACGTGAGTTTCAGAGGCTGCCACCACCACACGTGTGCTCAGTGACCTCGGCCACATCTGCCCTCTGGGGCTGCTTCCTCCTGAAGGACAGGGGTTTGGACCTGATGTTCTCCAAGACATCGAGAATTGCATGTCCAGCCTTGTGGAATAAAGAGGGGCCTCTGCATTCCAGCTAAGTTGGCTGCAAGTTGAATGTAACATGAATCCTAGCTTCTGTGCCTGATATGAAATCAGAGTTAAGATCTTGTGAAGGGGAGAAAGCAAAGCAAAATGGAGAGGATGCTTGCTGAGAAAGAATAGGGGAAGGAATTGAGATTTATTGACAACTGAGTCTTCTTCCAGGCACTGAGCTAAAGCCACTCTGCATCTTCTCCTAAGAAGAGAGACTTAAGGTTCCCATTTTACAGTTGCAGAGCACAAGGTTTGGTCGATGTACTTGGGTTCTGTCCTTTACCCTACCCCAGGGAGCTTCTCCAACCTCACTAACTTCTAATCCAATCCTCAGCAGATTCCAGAACTGCATTACTGTTTCCACAGTGATGACTCTGGATGGATTGACTGATTATTGATATATGGTATTGGGATTGAACCTAGGGGGTACTCTACCACTGAATACATCCCCAGTCTTTTTTTTTTTTTTTATTTTGAGACAGGGTCTTGATAAATGCCCAGGCTGACCTCAAAATGGAGATCCTCCTGCCTTAGCCTCCTGAGTCCCCATGCCTAGCATGTATCTGATGTTAGGGAGAACATTTCATTGATGGGACTGTCCATAGGTCTACTTATGAAGAATAGTCTCCAAGTGGAAAGTTACTTAAGTTCAAGGCTTTGGATTCCACAGGGCACATGAATAATCCATTCTATAAATTTGAAATACTGCTCAGTTGTCTTGGAAATATCACATTATTTGCTGAAGGGATGTTGACAAAGAAGGGCTCTTAGACATGGTGGTGGGCACGTGAGCACGGAGCTTGCTCTGGAGAAACAGCAAGTGGTGGAAAGGAGAGTGGGGCGCTTGGAGACCATAGTGAGCACGTTAGCCAAAGAGAGAGGTGGGCAAGGGCTCCGGTTCAGGCAGGCCTGGCTCCCACGAGAAGGCCACTTAGTTGGGGAACTTTGGTAACCACTTAGCATAACAGCAACCTCATTTCTTGAAATTTCATAGGCAGTTTATCCTGTGGTATTTGCTCTACCATATTATCTCCAGGGTCCTTTTCAAGCTTGAGAGAGGTGACCCAAAGTTGCCTAAGATCACCCAGCCAAAAGTGACCAAGACACACTTGATAGGCCTCCCTAGGTCCTCCATTTCTTCAGGTCCCAAAGGAGATCCCAGCAGTGAGTTTCAACCAGAGAGCATGTGCGGAGCTGGAGGGCTGAGCATATGGCGCCGAGTACCTTCAAGCCCTGCAGAAGGGCTTGAGAACAGCTGCGAGGTCCACACCGCCTGCTGACCTCTGTCCTGCTGTCTTCTGTTATGAGGCACTTTCTTCATCCCATTATCTCACTGGATCTGCCCCACAGCCTCGAGGAGACTGGGCGTCCCATTTCTCTGATGAAGCCAGAGCCTAGCCCAAGGTCACTGGCCAGGGGAGAGTAGGGACCAGAACTCAATGTGCTTGCCTGTGCCTGGGGCAGAGCCTGGACCAGGGACACGTTTCTTACTCAAGATATCTTTCTCCCCTTACCCAAGATATCTTGCTCTCTGCCCTCCCACCCTCAGAAAACCAGAGCGCCCACATACACCTAGGCCAGCTGTTCTCGGCCCCTCCCCCAGAGCTCTCTGTGTTAGGAGCCAGTTATCCTTACCCAACTGGGAGCCTTGGGATGGACTCACCCTCAGAAGTGGCCCTGTCTCTTGCCCACCTGCCCTGGGTCCCCTCAGGTGTGTCCTGGACTGGGGGTGGGGCTGGGCTGTTTATATCCTGCCCTGAGCTGCTGGTTACCTCTTATCGACTTCTCCAGGGTTGGGTGTGTTGCTAGGCAGGTCAGAGGGAGGTCACCCCTCCCGTGTTTGGGTGTGCCCAGAGGGGGCTGGGTCCAGACCCAGGGGGGCTGAGTTTGCTGCCCTGGGCCTCCCCGGGGTTGGTGCCCAGAATCCCACAAAGCTCCACCCCTCTCACCCCTTGGGAGAAACCCAATTTACAAGGCTGGTCAACAAAGTGGGGGCAGAGCTGGAATTTTTATAAAGGGGTTTGTATCAGTCTGCTGGTTTGCTGTGGTTATCTGTTTACACATCTCCCTCCCTTACTGGGTCCTGAGCGCCTTGGGGCTTGCTCAACTCCGCGCCTTGCACAGCGCACAGCGCACAGCGCCTGGCGCACAGAAGGTGCTCCATAAATATTTGTCAAACTGCCCTGTGACTCTCCCTGCCCTGGCCACCCCTTCCACACACTCACACCACACACCAGAACACACCCACACTCACTCATGCACCATCACCCACTGCTACATATAATACACTTGTACCCATAACACACACTCAAGCACCATCACCCACTGCTACATATAACACACCCCTGCCCATAACACTCACACTTCTAACCCACATATGCATATATGCTTCTGTGTGACAATCACACCACACACACACATACACCAGTCTCATACAACTACACTACTCACAACCAGACTCAACCCCTGCTGTGACCAGCCTTTTGTTTACACTGTCCATGTCCTCCCTGGGCTGGGAGACAACTGGCCTTGTGTTTGAAGCTTGGCCTCCACTCTGCCCTTTCTCCACAGGTGGGTTCAGTCCTTCCCTCTAGTTGGGACCAGCTACATAATTTGCAGCACAAAGAGGAAACTTTGGCCCTTGTTTAAAAGTTATTTATAATTTCAAAACTGCCTCAACAGAGCAGAAGCTCAAGCACGGGGCTCTGACCCTGAGCGCAGGGCGCTGAATGATGAAGGGAACACTGGCTACGTGTCCTGTGGGCTGTTGGCCACTCACCACGCCCTTTACTACAGATATGTCAGCAATGAGCACCAAACAGTGAGGAACTTGCTGACATTTTTAAATTGGAAAAAATTTTCATGGAAAAAAACTGACTTTGTGGTTCTCTTTAAAAGCTCAGGAGCCCTGGCCGTGGCCAGTGAGTTTTTCCACGGGACCAGTCTGCAGAGGGGAACCAGGCCAAGCCCAGGGCAGTGGTAGCACCTGCCGTCCCAGCTATTTGGGAGGCTGAGGCAGGAGGATCCCTTGAGCCTGATGTTGGGCAACAGAGTGAGACCCTGTCACAGAAAGATGGAGGTGGAATCATGCCGTTCTCTATGGGGTCTTGAGTTCACCACCATTGCCACCACGCAACACCTGGGTGGCCCCGAGGGGCGTGCCTGCCTCCCACCGCTGCTCCTTCCTGGGAGAATGTTTGATTCCCTCTCTACCTGGAAAATGGTGGCTTGTTGAGGATGTTAATAAATAAATGGATGATGAGGTCTGGAATTGGGAATAGTGATGCTTGTGGGTTGGAAGCCCAGCCAGATCTTTCCGCTCTGAAGGTTTGCAGTGGGGATCAGAGGCCCCCTATATTTGCTGGGAAGTGTTACATTTTCTCACCTGCAAGACCACCTGCAAGCCACGCCCAGTGTCCTGCATGACTCAATCTCACCTGCCTACCTCCACACCTCAGTTCAGTGCCTGGTATATTGTGACCCCCACAGACACTGAAGATCATCTGTATGACCTTCTTGACTGGGCAAGACTGCCTAAGGGGAGGGCCCACAGATGGCACCACTGTCCAGCAGTCTGTCCAGTCTCTATACCTCTCTTCCTGCTGATGGAGGAGAATTGGCCGAACCTCATGTGTCTACACAATAGCTCTTCAGTTATTTTTTCCCCTACCTCATCTCTTGTCAGGCAGAACAAACACCTCATAATCATTTACCAACAGTTTGGAGAACAGAGAACTAGATCTAGAACAACCCTCATCTCGTAGTTGAGGAATATGAGTCTTCTTAAAGGAAGATGATCCATTCAAAATCACTCAGAATGCTGATACAGAGCCTGGGCTTAATATTGACAGCTGGTCCGTTATTGAGCACCTATTAGGTAATAGGCTACGTGTCAAGTTATTGCTATTTATTTTTGTGGCACTGGAAATTGAACTCTAGCACTGACCTACATCCCCAACCCTTTTTTATTTTTGACACAGAGTCTAAGTTACCCAGGCTGGCTTTAAACTTGGCTTTGAATTTGCAATCTTTTTTGCCTCAGCCACCCAAGACACTGGAATTCCAAGTGTGCACCACTGTGTCCAGCTATTTATACCCATCATTCATTCATTCTCTCAGTGTTCATTCACTATCTGCTGTGCATCTGGCTCCTTAGTAGAGACAGGTGACCCAGAAGGGAAGAAATCACCCAGGGAAACTAGGGCCTAGGCTGGAGCCTAAGAAATTCCAAAGACATCTCCTAAAACCTCCCACCAAGTCTGCTCGTTCCAGGCAAGTGCCTCATTTTACAGATGAGGAGACTGAGGTTTTAGAAAGCTCAAGAAACAGCTCAGGTTTTCAGAGCTAGAAAGTTTAGAAAACCAGCACTTGAACCTGGCTTCCCTCTTTCCTCAAACCCACATCTGACTCTCCTTTGAAAGGTGCTAAGCAGCCTACACATCTTACTGCTGCACTGGCACCTGAAATTCTACCATCAAAGGTGCAGTTTGAGAAGACCCCTGTCTTTTTTTTTTTTTTTTTGGCGGTGCTGGGGATTGAACCCAGGGCATTGCATACACTAGGCAAAAGCTCTACCACTCAGCTATACCCCCAGCCCTTCTTATTTTATTTGAAAA